TATATCGCTATCATCATGTAAAATTGAAAAAAACTCAACCCATTTTCGCAACCCCAAATTGGCCTCTCTAGTAAAAGGGAAAGCATCCAATTTAACAGGATGACGTATCCGAGCCCGATGGGAGGAGGGTAAACGTGCCATAAAGGGAATCCGAGCCGTTCGAAACGCCGCTCTTCCTCGGCAGGCCGGGATAGATAGGAATGCTACTTAGTAAGACCGCCAAAACCCGAGAGGCCAGCCGGCCATTTCGGGTAGATTGGTAATAATCCAAGATTCTTTCAAATATGATACCTCCCCAAGCGCTCATGTGTTGCAGGAGGTGCGCAGAGATCAGTGTGCTGTCCAGACAGCAGCTTTCCCGACGGTAGTCTGCCGGTTTGGATGCAGAGTTCTAAAAAGTCGGAAAGAAAAATCCAGGGAAATCCCCGCGGGTGGAATCTGATGATGATTTTTTTAGGATCGGCGCACTAGATTAGTGATTGGGAAGTCGTTCACAGGGCCATTTCCTATGGAAAACCTTTACACCTCTTATATTGTTGCCGCTAGCCTTGTTCGGCCCCACGCTGAAACTGTCTGCGCCTGTAGCCTTGGGAGACGCGTGGTTTGAGAGGAAAGAGGGGAGGAAAATTCCCCAAATGAGTATAACGTGCGCCCGTGAGGGGTCTCTCTCCTTCATAACAAGAGAATAGATATCTCGAGCACGCCCAGGTCCGCAGCCTTCTCTCAGACCTCTCCTTGCACCTCAAGAGCAGGACTTATTCGCAGAAGCAGTACGGAGGGAAGGGTCTTAGATAGCTGCTTTTGGATACACTTCTAGGGACATCGGGAACGCATTTTGCTGGGTACAAGTACTGTATTAACTCGTGGGATCAAGTACCTCCGTACGCAAGGGCCAATCTCCGGCCGACTCATGGTAAGCCTAGTTTGCCAGGTTAAGGGGGTTGCGGATATCAGTTAACGAGATCCAACACAGCCCGGAGGCTGTTGAGCTTTTATCATGTCAGGAGAACACTACTCGTATTCCTTCTTCTGAAGAGCTTGTGATTCATAATCCGGAGATTGCACTGCTGGCGGAGATAGTGGATTTCATGGGTGAATACGGTAGTGGAAGGAGAAGGCTGGCAAAGCGTTTCAAGACATACGTGTAGTATCTGTAGTTCTGGGAGGGGCATGGGAACATCACCGTTGCTTTTGGGCGACATCATACAAGTGCCTGTAAAAACTTGAATAATTAGGCGGTGTGCTATGTAGTCCAGAATTTCCTTCTCTAGAAGGGGGGCGAAAAGCACATCAAAAACATAGCCGCTTTTCCCCCGCTGGCATGGAAGAAAATTTTTTCCTGACTTTACTGAGAGAGGAAAGCCCAACGACATAGCACACCGTCCAATTATTCGGGTTTTTACGGATCCCTAACAGTGTTACAGAGGGCCTTGCCAAGACAGCATATCGTTGGGTGACTTGCAGCTTCTGTGTTTCAAGTTGCAAATACATCAAGGCTGAGCCCGCTTTCGCCACAACACACTATGAGCAGTACTGTGTTTGGGTCCCTGAACCTCAAGTGTGAGAGAGAGGCTGCTTGGTTGGTGTCCCCCCACGGCCAAGTTGTAAGAGTACAGCACTGGAGTACCGTGTGATCCTCCAGCACCTATGTGCTAAGGTGCATACCGCTGTCTGGCACAGGAGCCTTGTGATAGGACCAGACACCTGGTCGGCACCGGGTGCGAGATCGAGGGATGCAATGGGATGGAGGGATTTTTATAAAAATAAAAAAGTCTCCGAATCTTAAGGAGAGCACTGTATGACGTCTATTACACCTATCACGCCCTCAGATATCTGCTGATTGCCGGCCATGCAATCCCTAGCTCCCAGCTCGATGCGGGGTTCTCTCTTTTTCCTTTTTTTCCCCCACAACTCACGAACACCTCTTCCATCAGACGAACACCCGCTAGGGAAGAGTAAACTCGGGGGTGCGAATGGGCTAACTGCGCATGGGGAAAATGCTATTTAAGAGGAGAGACAACCTGCCCGGATAATATAAAGTGTAGTACGCTCAAGAGGGATCTCTTTATGCATGAGCAAAAAACGGCCAGAACCCCCCTCCTACTATCATAATGAAGTTCGGGTTAGCTCTCGGGATCTTGAGGGGTGCTGATAACTGCCTTCGGTAAGCCCTAGTATGATACCATGGTAACAACCGGCACCTTTCTAATGTATCCAGGGCCGGCCAGAGCCTTTGCGCACGATACAACGACACCCGCGTCGCCCACGAACGTCTAGAAAAATTAAATGCTCGAATGAAAAACGTCTGGACACGAATTGAGTATCAGTTGGCGACTATTCAGAGTTCCTCCGAGGTAGTCCCTCCCATCCTCGGAGAGCACGTAAGGGAGATCCTCGGCGAATTGCTGTGCTGCCTGCACACTTCCTACAGAAATCTCGAGAAGGTGATGTGCAAAAAAGCGGGGGCCCTGACGAAGAGGATATGGTTCGCTCTTTCTCTGAAAGGATCTCTAGAGAGAGATATCCTGGCGTTGGAGAGATGGAGGGATATGTTCGCTTCAACCCTCTGTCATGTTATAATATCGATACCTGAGAGGCCTAAACCGGATCGAGTCTTTTCGGTAGGGGCCGGAAGAACCCTCAGGCGGTCGGCAGTGCTGCGATAAATCGACCGTCAACACCTTACCGAGTATGGGGGGGGCACGAGAGGGGGATTGTTGGAAACTGTTTGGCAATTTCCCGGAGGATGAAAGAATGAGTAGAGGACTTCTGGTGTGAGTAGGGAGACACAGGAGTCTCCAAATCGGGGAGGTGGGTGGGTCGGATAACATTCCTGTTCGGAGGTTTCTTTTCTCTCGCAAATATAAACATCCTTTAGATTTTCTTCGTCTCTATATCCCTGGTTTGTGTTTTGTTCTACTGTGATTTTCTTTATCGAGGTGTATTCGGAATATCTGTGGCGGGAATGTGGCGTACGAGTACATGGCGAACTGGGGGAGAGTTGCTTAGAAATTCATGGGTGGTTGGTTTGTTTCTGTACCGGCATTGCTACTGACATCACACGTCATCCAAGTGCGATTGTATCCTCCGTACTCAGGGTGTGATCCCATGTCTATCGAATAGCCACCACCACTACGACTTCGGCTCGAGATTTGACTCCTTATATTACAGTGCTTCTGAACCTGCGTTGGGCTTGTTTGGAGATATTTTGTGGTGAGATATACCACTACAGCTCCGAGCAGTCTAGCGCACCTATCGGGATAGAGCCCGTGGTTTGGCTCCCCTTGTTAGATGCGGACTTGCTGGCGGTAACTTATGAGCGTAAACTACTCAAGTCGCGGGATTGATGTTGCTCTCATTTTGGTAGGGACCGACCAAAAAAGGCGATTGAAAGCACTTAGATGGGGCAGAGGTTTCTTAGAATAGAGGGCGCGACACGGAAGAGATTTTGTTGAACCCTGGTCTAACGACCGGCATGATAGCCCAACTATCGTACTTGCTCGTAGGCTGAATTTATGAAGCATAGCGGTAATACCGGTACGGTACGCCGATTTACCGATGTCAGTTACGCTCACTATTGGTCAAGAAATAAGGTGTTCCGATCTCTGAGCCCAAGTGTCCGGGGCAAACACCATGCTCCGAGTGGTCGAGAAGCCGTGGAGCTAAGGCAGGTTTCAGCCTTGTTGGGCTGATCGAGGTGTCAGTCACCTGCTTTATCTCGGCAACTGCTCTAGGAAGGTCCGCGGAATTTTAGTTATCGGATCCAGGTGGCCAACATACCGGTATCGATCGGCCCCACAACCTGGATGAGTACGGTATTGCGCCGGTACTGTACCTGATCCAGGTATGACCGCACCAATCACACCCGATGTATCGGTGCAGGGAAGTGGGGGGCGCGCCAATGAGTCGGCCCGCGAAATCAAGTACCGGCACTGCACGAGTACCGTATACGGTATGATACGCGCACTCGCATAGACGTAGCCGTACCGGACCGACCAGGAGCAACCACCCAGTGGTTGACGTCAGTCTTGCTGCGTTTACTGGAGTATAGAGGTTAGCCACCAGTTTCACCATTTCCCTCCCCTTCCTCTGACCAAATCTCCCAATTACTATGCGCTGGCAGAGGACAATCGGCGGGCAAATATGCTCCCGTATGCAAATGTGATGCCTTCCACGTAATTCCCAGTACCTTTCCATGAGCCAGTTATACCCGGGGGGAAAAAGGAAAAACAGATAAAAGTACAGTCGATTGTTTTATTTTTAGAATTCCCCACAAGCAAAAAGCCTGTGTGCCTCAGCCTTGCTCTCGCTTAAGGGTTAACGGTACTGTAACGGTATGTTGTTGGGTGGGTACCGTACGGTAGTCGCGTCAGGACCCATGAAGAAGGAAGAACTGTCACAACTACCGAACACCAGCTTGCCACCTCGTACGAATAATGTCCGTGCACCCAGAGAATAATTTTTTTTTCAGAACACCGGTCGGGGTTAATCGGAACCTTGTGGAGGAACGCCAAACTCCGTCGTCGGTGGCATCCGAAAAGGATTACCGAGGGCCCGGGGCGCCGGGTATGATAAACGGCCTTCTCAGCTGACAGCTCATGAGCAGTACACGTACAGTATCGTATTATACTCGAGTGCTGTCTCCCTACGGTACTCTATAGTACAGCTGAGCTACCATAGTACTATGGTGGCACGTGGGTGGTCTAAACAACCTGTCGTCCCACAGCACCGCGAGTAAGTTATTCGGCAGATTAATCCAAATAACGGTACGTGCTCGAGTACCGTACTCGGTATTTACTGGTACAGATATTCGTGGGCTGTCGGGGTTGTGACGCATCGCCAAAGATTCATCTAATCAATATTTGCTCCAGCGTGCGCACAGGATCAACGAAAAAGCCCGACGAGCGGGAGACACACGGTCTGCACCCCGCACTAGTGACATCTTATAAGAAACGGGAGGGGGCAGGCAACCTGACCTGGTTAAATATAAGGTGCCCTCAAGGGGTAATTTCCGGCCGCCTCCCCAGGAAGAAAACAGTTAGAATACCCGCCCCCCCGCCCACAATAGTCATGTACACTGGGTCAGCTCTTGGCCTCTTGAGCGCTGCAGATATTTGTCTCCGGTAAGTTCCAGAATCGTGGTAAAAATCCTAGGCTAACTAATGTATCTAGAGCCGGCCAGAATCTTTGCCAACGATACAGGGACATCCGGGGCACGCATAGGTGTTTGGACGACCTAGGCATTCGGGTGGAGAATGTTTGGATGGATATTGCATCCCAAATAGGGACGGTTGCGAGTTCGTTTGAGGGAATTCCTGACAATCTCAGGGGGAGCATGACGAGTGATCTTTGCCGGCTGAAGTTCTGCCTGCACACTGCCTACAGAAATCTCGAAAAGGTGACGGACCAAAAAGGGTGTACCCCGATAAAGGCGATGAAGTTCGCTCTCTTTCTGAAGCGCTCATTGAAGAAAGATGTCTCGGTATTGGAGAAGTGGCGGGATAGGTTTGCTACAACCTTTTCACTTTATCTCAATCCCAGTCGGGTCCTTCCGATATTGGCCAATGAAACTCCATAGCGCATTGGCAGTGCTACGACAGGTGGACCCTTCAGAAACTATGTGGGGAGCATGGGAAGGACCTTAGCTGTGGGTTTGTTCAGAAATTTATTGGATGATAGAATTAATGCCCACCCGCCTCTCGGGTTCGGAGATGGGACCAGAGGATGGGATCATGTTGCTTTTTCTTCTAATGATTTTGATCATCCTATTTATTTCTTTTGTTCGTTTTTAATCTGATGCCTATGGGAATCTCTTTGTTTCTTTTGTTTGTGTTCCAACAATATTTATCGGCTGTCTCTTTTACACTGGTGTATAGGGAATATCTGCAGAAAATATGATCTACTTAAGAAGATGGCGAGCTGTGGGAAAAACTTGCTTTGGCGCTCACTAATACCCGGCGGGTCCTATATTGATACAGGCGGCAATCCCCAAATCCCAGTAACCCTATTGGATCCTATTAGGGCCAAAAACTGCATGCAGAGGTCAACATTCAAAGGCATCCCCCGCTAGGTTCGCGCAGGTATTATACCGCGTCCAGGCACAGCGGAACCACCCTTTCGTCTGTGTTTGTCGCTTCTCACCTCCATAGAGTATTCCTAGGTTGGGAGCGGTTCAGGTGAGGCAAACTATGAGGGTGTTTTCTACCGGTCGGGTCAAAGCAAGAGTTCACCAGCCATACAACCTTTGGCAAAGTATGGCCCACCCGGGGGCTCCGCCGAGACCCCCACTGGGCATTAAACCAGCTCCCCGAGGCTACAACATGCTTAGAGCGATCACAAGTATCGTAGGAAGAACTTAAAAAACACATGATGTCCACAAAATACAGACCCCCACCTGAATTAGAAAAAAACCAAAATACCCACTATATAGTTTCCCAGCGGGCCCAGCTCCCTATTTCCTCTTCTCTTGCGGGAAATATAGGGGAGGATAGGGACCATTCAGGCTAGTTCAAGAGCAGCCACTACAAATTCCACAATTCCCTCGGCAATGTACTGAACACCTAAAAAGAGGGGTCGGGCGCGGGCATTCTAGAAAACGGTGGGCACTCTTGATCTCGGGATTCCAATTACCGGTACCAAGTATCGGATAGAGACGCATAACATATGTCTTTGTGAGCAGTACCCGTACTGTAAAGTCTGGTGACGCAGTTAGTCCGTAGTCCTGCAATTTACGCCAAAAAAGATATTTTTACTAGGCTTGCAAGACAACTGGAGGTCCTTCAACTTCAGCAATATTTTTTTTCCTTTACTGAACCATTTGGCTACTGCGGCGGACTCCTTAAGGTTTGGGAATGTGGTTGGGGTTTTGGGGACTGTAAGCTTATGGGGATTAAAATATCTCCAATAAGGACCATTTTGATACGGGCTGCCATGCCAATTCTACTCGTGCCAAGGTTGTGGCTTCTCGCTAGCTCGCAACCGTGGGGACTCTCAAGAGAGTGCGACAGCTCAACGGTCTTTTCTCGCTCAACGGTACCTTGGCAGTTGCCATAAAAGCCTCATAGCTCTACACAACATAACGTTACAGCAACTCAATTCTATGGCATAACTAGTTTGAGAATATTAACATAAATAATCCCTGTTCCAGAAAATATTCTACAGGTATCATATTCCCACCTCATTGCCTACCGTACTTCCTTGAGTGTATGTTGCCGTAATGTTATGTTGTGTAGAGCTGTGGGGTTTCTATGGCAATGCCCAAGGTACCACTGAGCTGTCAGGCACTCTCTTAAGGGCCCACGGCTGTGGCTGCGCCACAACCTTCGCATGAGTACGGTACCGGCAGTTGCTTAAATTAAGCTTCTAAGCTCTGATGCAAAAGCGATCCCATAGCCAGGGATTCCCATGCCCACCAACGGTGCACGAAGCGAAATGTCGATCCCTAAATTCTCGGCTACGTGGATGCATAATTGGGTGAGGCTCCCTGAGGGGTGCCCTATCATAACATAGTGAACTTGGGTTGCTCCTGTTCGTCTATCTGCAATTTTTGTATGACAAATATAATATCGTAATGTAGCTGTTTTAACCCTGCTGAGAAGACTCCACACCCTGGACCTCCGGCGGACAGAGCCCTACGCCCCTCCCTCGCCCACCAAATATACCACACGACAAAATGGGATATGCCTATCCCTAGAAGATCGCCCACCGCCCCATAGTTTATTGTGTTGGGGGTGCGGTAAGTGAGGTGAACTTCTCATTAGCCCGCGGGTTACATGGCCAATGAGAGAGTCCAATATCGCTGATCCGATATGTGCTTGATCTATTCCCTTCATTTGACGTTTCTCCCTTCAGAAAAAAATGGCCCGTCGGAGCTTGCCCTTTCTATAGCTACACGGTACCAATTATTCCGGTTTGTACTCTATAGTTTCAGGCTCCCGGTTACTACCGAGCTGCTAGAGGTTGAGAGCATATGGTATGTTTTAAGGAGTTGCGCTGAAGACTGAAAGTGTGCGACGTGGCTGGCGACGTGAGTTTCTTGCTTCTCTCCCGGGTCTGGGTGAAGTATCATACGCGGGAGTAGAGGTCGTGTATTGGTCTAGCCAGTACCGGTGGGTATAGTTTGGTCCCACACTCGGACCTCCCCACAATGGAATGCAAATTAACCGGTACCGGTATTATGAGCTTGAGGGCTCTAATGCACCATGCAAACTTCCCCGTTATAACGAAATATCGAACGTTTGAAGAACACTCCAGAATAGATTCGAAAATAACCCCCGGGTTGTGATCCCCTGTCCCTTACAAAAATCAACTTACCCCTGTTGGAACATGGGCTATGGGAAGAAAAACTAGTACACTGGGCGTTCGTTATACTGAGGTGGGACTATATTAGCTAGGGGTTAGAGTTCTTACCCTGCAAGTACGGTAACACGAGAGTGAGGACACCCCCCGGGGGGATAGCAAACAGATAACGGATCACTGACTGCCAAGACACCCCCATCCCACCACAGCCCCCAGTGGCAACACCGCAACCCCACCCCCCGCCCGGCAGCCCCGAGGATAGGAAAGTTATGTCGATAAAAATCGCTTGTAAATAAAATATCCCTGGGAATAGGTGTCTCTAGTATAAATGAGAGGTTATGAGAAGTGAGCGCAATTCTCACAAGAGTGGAGCTGTTGTTGGTGCATAGGTAAAGGCAGTACTTTCAATGGAGCCCCCCGGCGAACGCTGGTCCAGGGTGCCGAAGATGAGCACCACGCCATCCGGGACGCAAAATAGCTAGCAAGGTCGAGTAGGGACCGGGTTAATATCCCAAATAGCTATACTGTACCTCTTGGGTACAGCATTCTCCTACAATGCAGCTTCTTTCTCCCCCAGCGATACCCGGCGGAAACCCTGGCGACGGCGGTGGTTGATAATTTATATTAACGTAACCCCTACCTCCTATCAGGAGCGCATGAGAGGGAAAACATTATGGGGGCAGATACAGTCCCCATAAGGGGGTCGAGGTGATATATGATTTTATTAACTGCCCCAATTCTGTACCTGAATTGATTTCCCAGGGCTGTGTCTTATAGTTGAGATGAAGGTCAGAGTCAGCTATAAAAACATAGCGGGAGGGAAAGAACAGTTGTAACTGAGTGATGCTGGTGGCGCTGGAAATGTAATAATTTCTTCTTCTGGAAGGACTGATGGTAGCTTGGGCACGAAATGGTCTTGGTGTTGTGAGCGATGTAAGAGTTCGGAATTGTTTTTTTCCATCTACTAGCCTACCTATCATTTTCTACGTAGGATGCCTATTCATTCGCGTCGAACCGAGAATCACGTTGTATCTCCTCACGTGATTGGAAATGGCTTTAGGGGCGTTCTAATTCTACTACCGCCTCGTTGTGAGCGGAAGTATGATACCCCTTTACTAACAGTCACACCTAGAAATGCCATATTACAGCCTGAGTTATGATACCCACCAGCTCGCATACCCTACCTACTAGGGACAAGCTCGGTAGGCCCCCCCGGTGGCCCTTCAGGCCCCATGTTCTGAGATACTGGGGAACGTGTAGTCGGGCCCCTCGTCGGACCCCTCGTCGCTCCCCTTTTCTTCCTTAAAATCACCGTTGCAAGTTTTCATTGGACTGGTTGGTCTACAAATCACAGTTCGTTCCCGCTCTGCCCCCATCAATTGGTAAGTTTCCCCATCCCGGATATTGGATCTTGAATATGCGCTACATCCATTTAGATACCAGATAACACTCCCAACAATTATCAACTTGACTCGTGAGCGAGTGAGAACTAGTGATTCAACATTTCCCAAAGTGCCAAACATGTATGAAAACGAGGCACTGCGCATATGGCCGCTGGGTAGGGTAGTGAGCTGGGCAAAAAATATCTATCTGGAACGGGAGCTGACATGGTTCTAGGAACCCCGATTCTTGTGTTTTCAGGGAGCTTGGTTTTCTATTGAGCAAGATTATAGGAGGGTCATTCCGGAAGGTAGAGAAAGCCCACCCAGGTCCACCCAATTAGCCTGAGAAACCCCTATTGTGTCTTTATTTCACAAGCGCCAATTTAGAGGCGCCGTAAATTTCTTGGTTAGGAATACTTTATGGTTGTCTGAGGCGATGGGATCTTCGAGATAGCTACTGTACCTTTGGAATTATGTGCAACCAAAACACGCAGGATTTTTTTCCCTTCTTCCCTCTCTATATCCTATGCCAAATGTCCAGTGCTAAAACCTTGCTTCTATCAAGTTATTAGGGGTGATAGTTCGTAATGTCAACGAACAAAGTGTGGCTAGCGGACTAGTAGTGATCCTATCTTTAGTTTTGGTAGCGCTAACCGGTGGTAAAAAAATTAAGTTAGAGATACTGAGTGGGGGGGTTAACGCGGATATATCTTAGTATTGATGTTAACGCCCCCCACCCCCGCTTATAATATATATGAGCTCCAATAGCTCTTTGGTACTGCACTCATCCGGCATGCTGTTCCTAATTTACCATTCGTTTTGGAATGGTGTCTCGGATAAGTTATGTCTTTGTTGCTCAGGGACACCCTCTCACTTAATCTCAGCTGGCTCGGCTAAGCTGTGTCGACTATGCCGTTATCGTAGCTCCCCTGCCTTCCTTGTCAGTCAGTATCCTCTCGTTATCACTTGGTGCTACTTCTCGGGCCACTGCGGTCGGGTTGCGCCTCTTCTGTTCGCGGTACTATACAGTACCGTAAAAACTAGAATAATCGAGTCGTTTACTATGTCGTTGGAGTTGCCCCTCCGGTAATGTCTGGTGTCTTTTTGGTATTTTTGTCGCTTAGAGGGGCTGAGCTGGTTATTTTTTGCAGTGTTTTTCGCCCCTTTTCCGAAGGTGGGAATTCTCGACTACATACCGTAGCACTTTACTCGATTATTCCAATTTTTGCGGTATGCGTATGGGCACCTTCGGGGCCGCCGGG